ACACGACTGGTCTTTAGTGCTGCTGCCATGCTCAACGAGGGTAGTGATACGAACATGCATGCTTCGAGACCGAAGTCCTGCATCGTTTGTTGACGAAATCGCTCAAAGACGGTCGCGAGTAGGATCGTGTCGACCCGACAATACAACTGAGCGTAATCTCCAATGGTTTTGCAAGAGAAAGTCTCCCATACGCGTATTGCATGCTGATATTGTGTCTCCGAAATGGTCTCCCCTGTCTGCGAGGAAAAAAAGGATTCTCTGGGAGGTAGTCCTGTCTCAGACAAGACTTTCATGTCTGCGATGTACTCATAGGGGAAATACCCCTTCCTCTGGAGCAATGTCATTTGCTCATGAGTTGTGAGAGGGAAGGATTCCTTTAAAATTGTCAGGTCCATATTGGAACCGAGGGAACTAACCAGACCGTCTAACGAGCAGCTGAGAAATTGATACGAGTCGAGAAACGTGACTCCATTCAATTTCACAACTAGAAATGTTTCTTCCGTACGAGGTATCACCTGAATATCAAACTGAAAGAACCGCTTCGTGGCATCCGCTATCAATCCTTGGCGGATGAAAACCTGGCCATTTCTGAGAAGTTGAGGGACATACAACGAAATGGGCTGGATGGAGGCATTCCAGCCCTCCCACTTAGGTGGCAACGAGTCGTAGACTGCCTTAGAGAGTACTTTGAAGGATCACAATAGAAGTATTAGCAAAACTGACTTTATTCGCTTTATGATGAGGGGGTCTCTTATTGACTGACCCTCGTCAGTATATCTCACCTTCGTATATACGCTTGGGCCTAGACCGATCTTGATCCGTTCGCATACAGAAACTTTTCGGCATATCTGACTGAGAATCATGCTTCCCTAGCCTGAGGCGCTAGACCTTCTGACCTATGCCTTACTATGTCATAGGCTTGGTGGAAGGACACTGGTCGATGTGAAACGGTACTCTTATGAATGCGATGGTGATTTGCTGCAAGGTATCGTATTGGGATATAAAATTGTTCCTCACATTTCTTTCATTTGGAGAATTTTCGCCAACTTTTTCGCACTTCTAGACCACTGTGCAATGGGCTTAATCGGTCTCTTCTCTAGGTACTCTAGGTGTTCTAGGTACATAGGCTTAACACAACTCCGCCCCCGAGTAGCACATATCCCCATGCAATGCCATGCTATCAACAAGCCATGAGTTATGTCATGACTTTATTTTGTGACATTCCACTGCGGCCAACCAGACAAGGGCAGTGCTGTATCATTGCATTATTTCGAAATTAGCAACCCGGATATGCCGGGCAAATCATCGTGCAACCGATAATTCAACGTTAATTCTCCGAGTACTCACATAAATCAATGATATGCTGAGGTTAAATCATATGAAATTATGGTTATATAAGAAATACGATATTGCGCCAGGCAGCGCCAGGCAGCGCCTCCCGCCAAACTTACCCTTTTTATACTACTGTACGATAGTTGTTCGGTACTCAATACAGTACTGAAATAAAACACTGTAAGGTGACGCCGGTTGGTCTGTTCCCGTCACGACATAGTAACGTAATAAAGCTTTAATCGTTGGGCCTATACGGCCCGTTTTAATATGGATGACGCATGTTCTGCATGGAGGCGCATCAACGAACGGCATCCCATATGTAAGACGCCAGGCATATATTGATTTAGAACTCTCTTTTAAGTGTGCTACATGCTCTCAGTGCTTCTTAACGTCCCCTCGTATTAAAGGGAGCTAGATCAGATCGGCCTCATCAAATACAAGCAAAATGTCATCGCGAAGTCATGGCTGTGACTGACTCACCACTGTCAGAGTGAGTGCTATAGATGTGCTCATTCTCACTTCACCCATTCTAATGTCCGCATCTCTCGACGACGGCTCCCGATCGATCTGCCCCAGCTATCACATAACATCGATTCAACTTTGGCAAGGTGCGGATTGAATGTATCTCTTTTAACGGTTTATACCTCCATGTTATATCAACATTGATTCAATGCGGAGACGGTCACCGTCTATTCACCCGCATTGTTTTTCACCCAAACCCACCCGCATTGAAAACACGTTTTCGCCCTCATAAATTGAAAACGAAGTGTGTCAAAATGACCATACGAGAGCAAAATGTGTCACTTCGACACAGCAAAAGTTTCGTGTTGATATGAGTCCATATAGAGTCATCATTGACATACCAATATTGCTCAACATCAGCTGCGTTGATGTTTAGCGTTGAATCAATATTTTGCTTCAACGAGAGTGTGTTACTTCGGATAGTCGCATATCATAGGGATAGCACAGTTGGTGCGTCGTTCGTTGGGCGAACTGGCGTCTGGCGAACGTCGGCAGATAGATACAGAACGTCATAGCTATGACTGAGTCATAGCTACGACTGAATCGCCACTGCCAGAGTGAGTACAAGTACTGTATACTTAGTCTCACCTCACCCTTTCTAGTTTCCGCATCTCTCCACAACGGCTT